TGTATCGCCAGCCACGTCCGCTTACACAATCAAAAGCCTGACACTGACCCGGCCCATTTGGGCCGGGCTTCGGGCCCGGGTTAGAAATGACTGTTTTAACCCTGAGCGAGAGGCTTTGTACATGTCATTACCTGAGGGCATTCACTCTGTAGCTATGTTTTACATGCGCAGAATTCTTTGACCGGATTGAAATGTGTTCTGTTTGAATAATTCAAATGTGTTGTTTACATGGGCACAATCTGTTCATGATAAGTGTTTACATGCAGCGGGCTTGGTTCTGAACAGCAGTACTGACATGCGCAGAGTGGTAAACTCTCCTTAAAAAAAACACCGAAGAAGAAGTTCTACTTCCGGGTGAACGTAAACAAATCTGAGCACCCAAAATGGACCCGCGACAGGTTTTAATGATGGTGGAGACGTTACTGCACTCCCTGACTGAGCTACAGGTAATACAGATCATTTTGAGCTCTTTAAAAGTTTCTAGTAGAAATGTTGTGTCGCTCACCGACCAGTTTTACTTCCCTGACATGCTAATATTATTAGCGTTAGCCAGGCGGAAATGGCAAAGTCGCACATGCACAGTCAGGTCAGTTTTTCACCATCAGATAAAAACAAACAGATCAAGTGTTTACATGCGCACCGATCGGGTTTCGGATCGGCGTAAACCACCCGTTTCGTTCTGATCACAAATTATAACGGATCGCGCCGAATACACAAAAAATAACCCGAACGGAGTGTTTACATGACACACTTTTATTCCAACCGGCCATTTGATCCGGTTACTTATGTCCATGTAAACATACCCTGTGTGACACAAAAGCACACCCCCAAGAAGGGCGGGTGCAGGACTGCTCCATGAGCAGCAACCCAGCTCTGTTAAAGAAAAGTGTTAGTCAGCATCAGAAAGCTGCCAAGAAATGGCAGGAACTCTTTCAAAATAAAATATAAAAATATTCATTGTGAAAATTATGAAATAAAAATACACCACATTGCCAAAAGTATTCGCTCACCTGCCTTGACTCACATATGAGCTTAAGTGACATCCCATTCCTAATCCATAGGGTTCAATATGACGTTAGTCCACCCTTTGCGACTAGAACTCTCAGCTCTCAACTCTTCTGGGAGGCTGTCCACAGGTTTTGGAGTGTGTTAATGGGGATTTTTGACCATTCTTCCAGTAGCACATTTGTGAGGTCACATACTGTTGTTGGATGAGAAGGCCTGGCTCTCAGTCTCCGCTCTAATTCATCCCAAAGGTGTTCTATCGGGTTGAGATCAGGACTCTGTGCAGGCCATTCAAGTTCATCCACACCAGACTCTGCCATCCATGTCTTTATGGACCTTGCTTTGTGC